ATTGCGGAACATTCATCCCGATGTCTTCAATATAATAACTGTTATCCTCTGCCACCCACAGCATTTAAACACTTATTAAGACTGGTTTGTATCATTCTTTAGTTTGTCAAGTTACATAAATTTAGTAATATTTAAGTTTCTAGAATAGTTGACCCTAACAGAATTCACTTTTAAGAAATGAACCAAACCTTTATCATAGCGGAAATTGAAGGTCGTTTATTTGATTTCTGTTTCAATCTACTTATCTATGAATCCCAATCATCAACGAATTTATCAATAATCTAGTCGGTCTATTCGAATGGTTTGAATTAATCTAAGTAAATAAATATATTCATGAAACATTCGACTTACTGTGTTTGAATTCAGTTGTCCATTAAGTGATTTACTGTCCACAAGAATTGATGAATCCATTTTTATATTCATCATCATTTTTTCCTTATTCATATTAGGTTCAATCCATATTAATCCATCACGAAATCCTACTGAATGAAATCGATTTGTCAATATTACATAATATTTTCTTCCAGGTTCATACCATTCATCAATCATAACACCATCATTTACTCTTCGAATACGTAATTCAAATCCATTATCATCCATCATTACTTTATCTTGATACTTTAATTGATTTAAATCGGATTGCATATCCGATGATGATGATGATGATACCATTAAGCTTACATTTCGATTGATACTTATTTGACTTCTTAGATTAACTGTAAGAGTTGTACATAATTTTGATAATTTTAAACCATCAAGTTTGTTAACACAATTAAATATAAGGAGATATAAAATAGAATTCAATTGAATACTAAGCATATTTAATAGATTATACGCTCCAATTTTAATGAATTCGCCCTTAAATATACCCAACAACAACAAGAAAATATGACATACACCATGGGTGTAGGAAAATACGTGGGTGTTTCTATCGTAAATAACAACTGATCAATAATGAATGGAAGAAAGAATATAAAGTAATTAGCATTACATATAACATATGTTCCGGTACTTTTATCAGTTGTCAGATGATCAAGGTTAGGCAGGGCATATTATTTTGATTAATTGAATCTTGGGCATATTTGAATTTTTGGCTTGTTTATTTCTAATAGTTCCTAAGATAGATGAATTACAAATACACTTCTAGATCATATGACTTCAAGTTTAATGCTTTATCAGAGAAATATTAAATGTAGATATTTCAGATAAAATTCATGAGTGCTAATATCTTTGATCAGAAAATTCACTCTTTCTTCTTTTAAATTAGTTACTATGGTGCATTCATTTTAGTTAGTTAGTGACTAAAATAAAAGAGAACATTTTCAACTCAAACGAGTGATTTTAATGTTGTTCTCTTAGTTAGATGGTTTAATTTTAAATTTTTGATTTGTTGTCTGGAGACCATCATCAGAGGCTACTTCATACAGAAATGAGTATTTTTGTTATTTTTCAAGTATTATATCAGTTCATTGTGATGGTTTTGTTTGTTATTAGTCGTTCCCATAGATTTTGTCGTCTTTATCGCTTCTTATGTTCTATCCTATATAGTGAGTGCATCCTTCAGATTAATTAAATATTTACTTCAATATGAAGTAAACTCAGATAATGTTGTCCATAACGATAGCGAACGTTACAAAATTGAATAATCTAACTGAGGGAATACAACAACTGTAAAAGTTAGTTGATTGGCCAGTAATAACCAACATAGTTACTACTCAAGATGGTCTATAACCATGATAATAGTATTACTTTTATTTTAAAAAATTCTTCTATTTAGCTAATGTTCATTCTTATTGATATTACCTTTTTTATAAATATCATATTATCATAAGAAATCTGAATGACTCATTTCTGAAATAAAATCGTCCATCTTTTTTAATACTTACTGGTTAAACTTTTAACTTTGCCCTGTAACAAACTTCAGTGTAAAAGAGGAGACAGTGTGTAGTCTTAGTGACTAAAATTATAAATTTGATACTTGCTTAAATGAACTAAAATTACTTCTATGAATCGTATCCTCATTACGATTATTATAATTTTGATAAATGAGAAAGAATAATATGACATTAACCAAATAATAGATTTTTATTTGTTTTAAACCATTACAAACATTGAACAGTTGTTGATAGTCAATTTAATAGGAGTATTCATTGAATTAGAAATGATTGAATATGTATATAATGAATTTTCAGGCAAAGATGGATAGTGGCTAGCAGTTAAATTCAGAACGCAGGTTTCATCCTATTTGGAACTCGTCAGCTGGATATACCTGAATCCCAGAGTTCGAGTCCTGGAGTGAACATCGAATCTGGGATGAAGGTATATCCAGCTGACGAGTCCCAAATAGGACGAAGCGTGCGTTCTGAATTTAACTGCTAGCCACTATTCATCTTTGTTTATAATGCTTGTGAATATCGAGGCGATTCACACAAGATGCACATATACCAATAAGAGAGAGACTGATCAATTACAGTTCTAAATAACAATTGGAAGATACAAGTAAAACAACACCAAGTGAATGTATACAATGAAGTTTAAATGGTATGCTTCACAAACTTTTTTTCATAGTGATCATATCTGATAATTTATTAAAAATAAAATAAAAATACGGTAATATTTTTGATGAACGTAGGACCAGGCACGTAAATGCATCGGTCCAAGTTGCCATACTTCATTAGCACAAAAAGATCAACACCGGCTTCATAGAAGTAGTTAATTTAATAGTAATATATAAGAGAAAAATTGCATATAAGGATATAGTACAGAAAGAAAGAATTAGTTGGTAGAAAGAAAGATATAAAGCAATTTCAATTTCATAGTTTAAAAGAGGACAGAGAGTGTATACACCTACGCCATTGTGATCGATTCTGAACCATACCATCCAGAGTCTCCAACAATTGGTTACAGTAGTCACACGGATCCCAACCAAGTAGTCTACATCTACCAACATGGCTCAGATTAGAAGTTAGTGATTTCAATGATTGATGCCATGTTTTGGTTTGGCCACCCCTAACTTTGTTATAACCATTCCCAACACTAGTCAGCGTTGCATGTCGTGGCATATCTAAAAACATGTATACATTATTGGTTCATTGTCAGTTATCATTCAGATATACATATAAAATGACTGATCAGCGTAGAAACTAACGTTTCTTGAAAATTATTTAGCTTTCATTAATAGAAAACTTCAAAAAATTTACTTATCTTTTTTAGTATCTTTAATTATTTCTATCTATTATATGTTTTGTCCTATTGTGAGTAAGATAATCACAGTGATGATACTGATGTTCGTTGAGTGATTGCATTATGAACACTAACGTCATGAAACTTTAAAAGAATACTGTTATGACTTTATGTCCGGTTTTTTATCACGTGACTTATCCACCAATCAAAATACGACTTATACAATCGTAGCACTGTGCCAAACCAATGACGTTCGACCGGTAGAGCTGTCTAGCTTCCTTATTGGTCCTATGTTGGCCTATCCCGTACACTTGAAACCAGAACACAAATATCAGCTTCCACTATGTGAATCGAATCGAATAATTTATTTGATACATACTGGGTTTATATATCAACCAGACAGGCTGTGGCGCACCATAAAATACGAAATAACGTATGTACGCAATAAAGCCAAAAAGTGACTGTGAACGTGGGAGGCAGTAGTCAATAAACTGAACATAACTTAAGAACCGTAAATCGTACAATAATAAATTATAGTTCAAAATGAAGCTTATAATAAGAGGAATATAAATACATATAATCTAATTATTGAGTAGTTATACCATAAAAATGTATAGATAATATTAGTCAATTAATATGTCTCAGAAGTTACTCATGATTTAATCTTCACTCGGATATAACAAATACTTTCATAAATTATTATGTTATCAATATAAATAAATAAATAATTCAGTGTTATACAACAAAATTTCACTTTAGAAGTGTACATTTCCCAGATTCTTGTTCAGTTGAACATTATCACTGTATTAACGGGACATAGATTAGATTGAAGTACGCTCTATGCACGATTGCACTGCTGTACGCTGATTGGTTAATTCTTAACCTATCATCGCTAGTCGATACTTGGAGAACACCCTATTAACGTTTTAACTCTTGTGCTTCTTACTTTCATCTAACCTTGTTATTTGAATATAATCTCTTTCCTGTTCAACCGTGTTTGGATTTGAAGATATGTCGAGTGAATTGGTGTCCAAGAATACTAAGCAATAGAAATAAATGGGTTGTAATAAGATAGAATTATAACACACTGGGCTTTACATAACGGAAATTATATATGAAACATAGAAGAGAGCATATACTTATCAAAAAGGGTTTTGTGGAGATTTTAGAAATTTCAATAGTTGAAATCATGAGTCAATTGAAGCCAGACCACCATGGAAAACCTGGAAGCACTGGACGGCCGTTTCGTTTCAGTATGTGACTCCCCCTTAGCAGTGTGCATCCACGACCCCCCCTCAAGATTCGAACCCAGGACCTATCAGTCTCGCGCGCTAGCGCTAGTGAGAAGCTGTTACCAGTGGAGTTCAACCAGGTATATTGTGAGATATCAGCTCACTGAAGACATTGGTGTACGGTGGCGTAATTTCGTGGAGAGTACATACTTAATTATTCAACTTTATCAAACACTAAAAAGTTCATTAGATTCCATGATGTTTTAGGGTGCAAAGATAAGAAAGAAGGGAAATTAATTACATCATCAAATGCCTAACTACTTTTCGATTGAATTCATACCTTCTTGGTATAATCAGAAAGTATACATTATTGAAAGTATAGCACTGTTTGGTACGACATTAATTTATATTTATTGTCTAATTGATATAAACCTTTAGGGTTCTAGTAACTGTCGTAATTTTGGTGATAAGAATCAGTTAAGTTGGGCATTTCAGTTATATGAAATTTCCGCAAAAGTCGGAGAACTTTTATAATGAAAGTATTTTATTTATCACTGTAATTAGTTGAAACATCTTAATTTTTAGGCATGACTACAACCAGCTGTCATCCTCGTCTTGGTTACGAATGTGCCAAAATAATGGCTGATCATTATCCAGAGCGCCTTGGTTTAGCAATCTGTGTTCATCCAGGACCTGCATTCAAAGTTGCTTGGCAAGCAATTAAACCATTCTTACCACAGACAACAGTATCAAAAGTTTGTTTTATTAGAAGTAAATCAAAAATATTTTCAACATTTGAACAATACTTCTCTTCAGAAACGTGTAATTGGTTAATGACTGAAGTAAAATTCAATAGATCAAGACAGACAACAACGAAATACCGACCATTTTGGTTACCTCCAAAAGATTCCGATGATAAACACGATCCTAGAGGTGATCCGATATATGTTCGTGATTGGCTTGTATTAAATCATCCAACTCAACATTTACCACATCCAAATATTGTTGATTATATGCTTGGATGTTTAAATTCACTTAATTATGAAAATGCATTATGCTCTAATCATCTGGTTGATAATAATTATGACTTAACAGAAAAGGGATTTGGTGATTTTGAAGAACATGAAAATGATTCTGATGAGGAAGAACTTACTAAAATGCTTGCTGCAAAATTACCAAAAGAATTTATGATTCCTGAAAATGCAGAAAAGTTAACATAAATTATTATATTACAATAGAATATTTATATTCTGTTGGCTTGTTCTCATCTTTTTAACACATTTGTCATTTTATACCACTAAAAGATAATATATAAATCAATAAGAGATGAGTTCTCAGGGTTGGACAATGGAAAGTTTTTTGGTAATATGGTACTTGATTTGCATGTAATTGGTTTATTTTTTAAAGAAAAATTATTTTTTAATTTAAGTTTTTATTATTTCTCAAATTAAAATCTCTTCATTAATCATTTGAAACTTTGACAATGATCAAACAGTGCAGTTGAAACAACAGTATGTTATTTATTTAACATAGTGAATAATCGAATATATTCAACAAAAAAAAGGAAATGTTTTCAACAAAACGTCTACTTTTAATCGACTCATTACTTTGCCAACATGAAAACCATTTAATAGAAACTAATTAACGGAGTAAGTGCCGTGCAATCCGATCAATATAATCTTTTCAGTGGTACACTACACTATTTAATTACACGATGAGAATATAATTTATGGATGAACCAATCAGGTATAAAATAACGTATCCCAGATTTTGGCGGAAAATTCACTCATCCATTTGTATAAATAGAGTTTTGGCATCATAACTGATTTCAGTTTGTGATGAAAACCCAAAATAAAATTTCTAACTCTAACCATCAACTGTGAATCGTAATTCTAATTTCTCACACTGGTTTTTAACTCTCATTCGGTCCTAGTTTTTAGGTCACTTTAGCATTACTCGAAGGTCGTCCATAAATTATAGTCTCATCAATTACACTTTCGAGTTATCTGAACATGATGATAACTAAACTCTGTAGTAAAACAATTTAATGCTTCCTGTTTTAAGAACTGACTTGGCATACATAGTTAACACCAAACAAAGTCGAATTCAAATTTCCTTCTTGTTGGATGGCATCAATGATATATACATTTTCAACAAGATTACCAATCGTAAATAACACTATTTGGTTGATTGAGTCACAGATGACCACTTGTAGAGCAAAGCTGAATAGACTAATCAAGTCTCTTTTCAACTGCTTGAAAAAAAATAAAACGTTGATGGTCTATTTTCCAATATATCAATTAATGTAAGCGGTTCAGTACAATACTGGTTTCTGGAATAAAATAATTCTTGTCAGATTACCGAAATTGATGAACATAGACAATATTTCACAATGCATGTCATCTATATGGGGATGAGATAAATATTCTATAACTCCACCACAAATTTAAAAATCGTAATAATAGAAGAGTTCATGAAAAACGTAGATACAATACTGGCTATAAATATTGGCAATGTACCTACCACAGTTTGACGGGAATGGTTTGAAATCTTAGTTAGTGTCGTGTTCGCGCCTCGAGAGATATAATTAACCTGGCTTTCTCTATGGTGCTAACCGAATAGGTTCAGACCTTATGGAAAAGCACAGTTTACTAAAGAAATTAAGTTAGAGAGACAGGAGGTAAGAACACCTTCACATAAGCCGTTCTGTGGCATGGAACCAATTATTCCTCGTTGGCTATACTTGAATTTGACGAGATTAAGTGAACTGTTTAACGTTTAATGATCTGCCGTCTAACTTAAAAATGATTCAGCTAGACGGACTCTCGGGCAAGGGTTCATTGACATTTTAGTGACCTCATAAACCAATTATTTATGGTATGGTTTATTTTTATTAACAATGTACATGCGGTATGATTACAAGTCCTTCATGAAGATCCTCTTCTAACTGAATCCTCAGAGCGTAACCTTGGGCTAGTAACCACCGAGAGTTTAGACGCCAGCTCAAACCACGTTGAAGATGCAGTCGAAGCAAGCGCAAATCTCCGCTTTATGCGTAGACTACTTGGGAAGACCGCCTCAGAGTTGTTCCAAACTCTCTTTATAACGTACCCGCGGTCCCAACTTGAAGTTCACAAACTCATTTAGCCCTTCTCCAAGAGAGTCTTAAATCTCTTACACTACGTACAGAAACGTGTAAACAAGTTAGTGATAGAGCCTGAATCTCACGACAACAAACTTTAACACATGGGGTTATTCTGGCTGAGATACAAAATAATAAGAAGTGGTCTGGTAATCAATTACAATATATAAGACATACCGAGCGATCTCAACACAAGCACATTACCAGATCATCATCAGGGTTGGGTGTGTCTTTAGAAAGTTTTAATATCGATATTTGTTGTCTATCCAAGACGCGTATGCAAAACTCTAGTGCAGTACCACAAATTCGTTCCCCATCCTTCGCTTCGAATTGCTTGTTTCATGTGCATTTATCGGGGTACCATATGAAATATTTGTCTGGTATTGTTGACGTTGGTATCGAACTAAGGGCCAAAGCTGAGGCAGCACTAATCGATTGGATCGTTATTAACAGTTAGATATGTGCTGTTGGATTAGAAAATTCCAACAATGTGCGAAGAAATCGGTGCGTGAAACGATGTCTTTTCGTCATCTCCACCTATGCTCTTATAGATTTAGCTCGGATGCTATCAACGATGAGTTTTACCAACAGTTAACAGTTCTACAGAAAGTTTGTTCAACAGATATTGTAGTACTAGTCCGAGACTTGGATTCTCAGGTCAGGTGTTTAGGAACAGAAAAGAGTCGTTTAAGCGGCCGTTAGGGACTTGTTGGTTGCGGGTCAGGTGATGGTGACCGTCTGCTGCAACCCGTTTTTAACTAGCACTATTTGCCGTCCCAGTAATCGCCGATGTGCTTCCTGGCGTCCTCCCTCTGTATCTTGAGCCTGGACTCAGACTGACCACATCAGAATCAGCTGCCACTGAAGTGATTGTGTGCAAGAGTGCCGCTCATTTTGAGGCACCAATCTGGACTCTGATCATGGCTTTGTTTGCGCTAGTCTTACCTTACGTTTCAGTGATCAAAAGTGTCATCGTCTCAAACCGCCTGATGTCAGTGAATTGGCCACAGCTACTGTTACACATAAATACCAAGGCTAGCTACCTTCCTACTAAACATTATGGGAATAAAGTCGCTTACAGCTTCGCAAAACATTCAACTTATGAGCACTGGCTTTCCTCAGGTCTTTTACAACTCGTTGAAGCCCATAGGTTTACTCCGAGTGACCTCAAATCTGATTATAATCAAAGACTATTACATAATGAAATTGGGCAAAACTTGCCTAAGTACTGAGAAGACTGATGATCGGGGCGTGCAAATAAGTTGGGAGCATCAGCTGCATCTGGCAACTTCCGCAAGCTCTTTCAACTCATCCGAGTCACTGGCAGCACGAAGTCTAGTGTGAGCGAAATATTCTGTGAAGGTGACCTCTTTAACGATGAGCAAACCTTCTTAAAAAGCAGTTCAACTGGTCTGTTACTCCGACAATATCGATCAGACTGTCCTATCCTCCATGATCTGTGATAACTGATCCACCTAACGAGTCGAAAATCCTTAAGGAACTCTAACTATTAAGGCGCTATGCGAATGATATTGTCTTACTGTAAGACAATACCCACTGTCAGGACCCTGATCCTGCACTCACTCTGTGTAGTGAGCGAGTTGAAGTATCCGAGAAGTTCATGTATCTGGGTATCTACATAAGTGCTGGTGGTAGCGTGAGTGGTGAGATCAATTAACATATAGTGAAAGCCGGAGCGGCTTATGTCAATTTAAGCAACCTTCATGATTTTAGTCTGGTCGTAATAAGTTGGATCTACAACGCGTCCGTGAGAGCAGTTTTGCTTTATACTTGTAAAACCTGGCCTATCCGAATTGAGAATATTAGACGACTCTCTGTGTTTGATGATCGTTGTTTTCGAAAAATTGTTGATATCCAGTGGCAAAACCATGTTAATAACGCAGAGGTTCGACGTCCTTTATTCCGGCACGGTGACGATAATCCAAACTTAGCCACTATCTTTAAACACAGACTTTAATGGCTTGGTCATGTTATATAAATGTCGTCCCATATAATTCCATGTCGTTATTATTTGTCGATGCTGAGAAAAGCGGAGAGGTGGTCATTGTGTGACATTGTGTTGTGGTATAAAAGAAAGCTGTATAGGACTAGGTTCAGTCGATCCTCCATGACTCTTTGGCTGGGGTCCGAGAGATGGTGCAAAACGGCGGCTATGTTGATGCAATTTTGTTTTATTTTCTTCATAAAAATGAATGTGACTTCTTTAACTGAAATAATTGTTTCTAGTTGTATCTTCATTAACTGAACTGTTATTATTATTATTTAACTCTCATACACTAATTTCTGTCCATTTTTCTTATTTTTATTATATGTACTTACATTCTTTATCTCTTCACAACCTTATTGTTATTGTGTGGTGCATATGTATTTTGTGCCCCTTTTACTAATATTTATGTGTTCAAATAAATAAATAAATAAAAGCTTAGTCACAGTCCGTTATAGAAATTTGTGCTACTGTTTTTGTGAAACGAGGAGTTAGTAAGTTTCAGATAGCACAGATACAAACCAAAACGAAGTTAATTCCCAAGGCTTTGAATTACGGTAAAACATGTAGGTTACAAAATGTCTAAGTGCTCGTCGCACTGTGGCTTCGATTAATCATTTAATGAGGTTCAACACTCGGCTCTTCATATAAATTAAAACTGTTTGAGATAGAACATATAGTATATAACTGAATCGCATCACTTTTAAACGGTCTAATTCGAGTCATAAAAATAAAGCAACATTACTCACACTCTTAGAATATCACCAGTGCTGGCTTTCAAGGCTAAGTCATTGCACCACTGTTAATGTGCATCAACGACATGTTCCGTTGCTTTATAATTTTACAACCCTTTCTGTATACCAGTAATCTTGAAGCATTGTGCAAACTCCGCGAAAGTCACAATAGAAATATCAACTAAGTATTACAGTAGGACTTCGAAAATTGTCATTATTGGTGTGACACATGCTTCCACCTCTTTCATCCACAAACGTTTGTGTACACGTTTTCGGTGAACTGGGTCAACAGATAAGCTCACGTCTCAATAAAATTAGAAGTTAAGCAACCAGGTAGCATCTGATATTTAGAGGAGAAATATACAAACAGCCTAATGTTTGCTCAGTTAAATTATTTCCAAATCTGTGAAGTCGGCAGATATTTTGGGCTTGTTTATTCCGACTTCTATTTAACATTTAAATTGATTTGTTGTAGATAATTTGTTTAACGCCTACTAGAATACTGCTTTATCATCATTTACATGCACTATCAAGAACGATAGAAAATTAAGTAAACACAACGGTGATCTGTGCTACGCCATGCTTTTGGAGTGGTACCAATAGTAAGAATAAGATATCTAATGGCTTAAATAAATTAAATTTAGTCAGACTGTAGAAATATGGTCTAACTCAGC